AAGCGAACTCTGGTATGACATTTCCTGCATGAGAACGACACAAGACCTTTATCGAAACGTCGCTCTCGCAAAATAAAAACAGTTGTTATCCATAATGTTTGTTCAATATGGCAAGATATGGTTCACCTTTTTATCTCTTTAACTGTAATGTGACCAAATATGGCAAATATGTGGATCTCACATATGAAATGTCACTTCTGCATCAGAGGTATGATGGTGTCCTATTCTCCATTGTTCCCGGTGTCTTATTAGCGGTGCCCGTGTTTTCCAGAGATAGCTCAGCCCTTCTGGCAATCTGGGCAATGCGTAAGGCAGCCCTCCTGGGGGAATTCCCTTGTCCTGCCTGGGGTGCGTGCATGTTGAGTGGGCAAGGGCGTGAACTGATGATGACGTATTGGGGCCAGACTCTGCAAGTAGCACCCTGCTGCATTATATGCATTGTTTAGTGATGATGATGATGATGATGATGATGATGATGATGATGATGATGATGATGATGATGATGATGATGATGATGATGACGAGTCTGTCCAAATATTTTCTGGTAAATGTGTTAACTGATCACCCTGCTGCATTATATCTTGTTTAGTGATGCTGCTGCTGCTGTTAATGATGATGATACTGTGAAAATATTTTCTGTTAAATGTGTTTACTTATCACTGTATAGGTCCTTTTCATATGAATGGACAATGTACTAGAGACATTCACATGTATTGTAGAAAGGGCGGTTATCCTGTTTAATAATGTGGAAAGGATCTATCATTCCTCGAATACGTCAGGCATACAGGTGAGAAAAGAATGCCCTCTTTCCAAACCTTGTCACAAAGAAGAAATCTTCCTTGGACCTATGTACAGGCAGTGAAGCAGTAAAAGACGTATCAAGTATTCAATACGTACACAGTTGATACACTATTCAGTATGCGCCTTATCTTCAACGCATATGTGTGGTAACATATTCACGTTTCCTTCAACAGTTACGTGTAGTAAAAATGTTCACGTTTCCTTCAAAATATACACAGGTTGTAAACTCTTCACGTGTCCTTCAACATGTAAGCAGTTAGTGCAGTATACGCCTCTCCTTCAACACATATACAGGCAGAACAATATTCCATATGTCCATTTCCATGAACATATACACAGGTAGTAACATATTCACAGGCAAAACACTGTTCCGTATGCACCTTTCCTTGAACATATACACAGGTAGTAAAATTTTCACGTTTCCTCCAACACATATACAGGCAAAACACTGTTCCGTATGCACCTTTCCTTGAACATATACACAGGTAGTAAAATATTCACGTTTCCTCCAACACATATACAGGCAAAACACTATTCCGGATGCACCTTTCCTTGAACATATACACAGGTAGTAAAATATTCACTTTTCCTCCAACACATATACAGGCAAAACACTATTCCGGATGCACCTTTCCTTGAACATATACACAGGTAGTAAAATATTCACTTTTCCTCCAACACATATACAGACAAAACACTATTCCGGATGCACCTTTCCTTGAACATATACACAGGTAGTAAAATATTCACTTTTCCTCCAACACATATACAGACAAAACACTATTCCGGATGCACCTTTCCTTGAACATATACACAGGTAGTAAAATATTCACGTTTCCTCTCCAACACATATACAGACAAAACACTATTCCGGATGCACCTTTCCTTGAACATATACACAGGTAGTAAAATATTCACTTTTCCTCCAACACATATACAGGCAAAACACTGTTCCGGATGCACCTTTCCTTGAACATATACACAGGTAGTAAAATATTCACTTTTCCTCCAACACATATACAGGACAAAAACACTATTCCGGATGCACCTTTCCTTGAACATATACACAGGTAGTAAAATATTCACTTTTCCTCCAACACATATACAGACAAAACACTATTCCGGATGCACCTTTCCTTGAACATATACACAGGTAGTAAAATATTCACTTTTCCTCCAACACATATACAGACAAAACACTATTCCGGATGCACCTTTCCTTGAACATATACACAGGTAGTAAAATATTCACGTTTCCTCCAACACATATACAGACAAAACACTATTCCGGATGCACCTTTCCTTGAACATATACACAGGTAGTAAAATATTCACGTTTCCTCCAACACATATACAGGCAAAACACTGTTCCGGATGCACCTTTCCTTGAACATATACACAGGTAGTAAAATATTCACGTTTCCTCCAACACATATACAGGCAAAACACTATTCCGGATGCACCTTTCCTTGAACATATACACAGGTAGTAAAATATTCACTTTTCCTCCAACACATATACAGACAAACACACTATTCCGGATGCACCTTTCCTTGAACATATACACAGGTAGTAAAATATTCACTTTTCCTCCAACACATATACAGACAAAAACACTATTCCGGATGCACCTTTCCTTGAACATATACACAGGTAGTAAAATATTCACTTTTCCTCCAACACATATACAGACAAAACACTATTCCGGATGCACCTTTCCTTGAACATATACACAGGTAGTAAAATATTCACGTTTCCTCCAACACATATACAGACAAAACACTATTCCGGATGCACCTTTCCTTGAACATATACACAGGTAGTAAAATATTCACGTTTCCTCCAACACATATACAGGCAAAACACTATTCCGGATGCACCTTTCCTTGAACATATACACAGGTAGTAAAATATTCACTTTTCCTCCAACACATATACAGACAAAACACTATTCCGGATGCACCTTTCCTTGAACATATACACAGGTAGTAAAATATTCACTTTTCCTCCAACACATATACAGACAAAACACTATTCCGGATGCACCTTTCCTTGAACATATACACAGGTAGTAAAATATTCACTTTTCCTCCAACACATATACAGACAAAACACTATTCCGGATGCACCTTTCCTTGAACATATACACAGGTAGTAAAATATTCACTTTTCCTCCAACACATATACAGACAAAACACTATTCCGGATGCACCTTTCCTTTTGAACATATACACAGGTAGTAAAATATTCACGTTTCCTCCAACACATATACAGACAAAACACTATTCCGGATGCACTTTTCCTTGAACATATACACAGGTAGTAAAATATTCACTTTTCCTCCAAAACACATATACAGACAAAACACTATTCCGGATGCACCTTTCCTTGAACATATACACAGGTAGTAAAATATTCACTTTTCCTCCAACACATATACAGGCAAAACACTGTTCCGGATGCACCTTTCCTTGAACATATACACAGGTAGTAAAATATTCACGTTTCCTCCAACACATATACAGACAAAACACTATTCCGGATGCACCTTTCCTTGAACATATACACAGGTAGTAAAATATTCACTTTTCCTCCAACACATATACAGACAAAACACTATTCCGGATGCACCTTTCCTTGAACATATACACAGGTAGTAAAATATTCACTTTTCCTCCAACACATATACAGACAAAACACTATTCCGGATGCACCTTTCCTTGAACATATACACAGGTAGTAAAATATTCACTTTTCCCCAACACATATACAGACAAAACACTATTCCGGATGCACCTTTCCTTGAACATATACACAGGTAGTAAAATATTCACGTTTCCTCCAACATATACAGGCAAAACACTATTCCGGATGCACCTTTCCTTGAACATATACACAGGTAGTAAAATATTCACGTTTCCTCCAACACATATACAGGCAAAACACTATTCCGGATGCACCTTTCCTTGAACATATACACAGGTAGTAAAATATTCACTTTTCCTCCAACACATATACAGACAAAACACTATTCCGGATGCACCTTTCCTTGAACATATACACAGGTAGTAAAATATTCACTTTTCCTCCAACACATATACAGACAAAACACTATTCCGGATGCACCTTTCCTTGAACATATACACAGGTAGTAAAATATTCACTTTTCCTCCAACACATATACAGACAAAACACTATTCCGGATGCACCTTTCCTTGAACATATACACAGGTAGTAAAATATTCACTTTTCCTCCAACACATATACAGACAAAACACTATTCCGGATGCACCTTTCCTTGAACATATACACAGGTAGTAAAATATTCACTTTTCCTCCAACACATATACAGACAAAACACTATTCCGGATGCACCTTTCCTTGAACATATACACAGGTAGTAAAATATTCACGTTTCCTCCAACACATATACAGGCAAAACACTGTTCCGGATGCACCTTTCCTTGAACATATACACAGGTAGTAAAATATTCACGTTTCCTCCAACACATATACAGGCAAAACACTATTCCGGATGCACCTTTCCTTGAACATATACACAGGTAGTAAAATATTCACTTTTCCTCCAACACATATACAGACAAAACACTATTCCGGATGCACCTTTCCTTGAACATATACACAGGTAGTAAAATATTCACTTTTCCTCCAACACATATACAGACAAAACACTATTCCGGATGCACCTTTCCTTGAACATATACACAGGTAGTAAAATATTCACTTTTCCTCCAACACATATACAGACAAAACACTATTCCGGATGCACCTTTCCTTGAACATATACACAGGTAGTAAAATATTCACTTTTCCTCCAACACATATACAGACAAAACACTATTCCGGATGCACCTTTCCTTGAACATATACACAGGTAGTAAAATATTCACTTTTCCTCCAACACATATACAGGCAAAACACTATTCCGGATGCACCTTTCCTTGAACATATACACAGGTAGTAAAATATTCACGTTTCCTCCAACAACTGTACACGTAGTAAACTATTCAGCATTTCTCTTACCTTTAAACGATACACAAATACTGAATATACTACCATACATTTTCTTCAACCTGCATATGGATAGTAAAGTAGCAACGATACCCCTAATTCAACCGGGCAAGTGGACACCTGTCATTCCGTGTCGCCTAAACGAACGCACCTCTGCGTATCCTTTAGTGGATTCACCCGTAAGAATGAGGCTACGTTTCCACTGCGTTCACTGAACACACCCGGGGCAGTTGGTACTGGATACTCGCTCAGGTAGGGTGAAACATTCGACATTCTACACAGTTAATTGCTACTCCAAAGGTATGAAATAATGTCAGCACGTGTATGTATCTCACACAGATTCTATTGTCTTTACACGGAATTAGTTTCTGTATGAGTGAACTTGGCATGTGAGTACATGTACTGTTAAGTCAGTTAAGTCTGACTTTGTCAGTATTTATGTCTACTGTCGCAACGCAAAAGCGTCATGTCAAAAACAGTTGGGAAACTAAACTCGTACGTTTTTTAAAACATGAAAGATATTTCGGAAAAAGAAAATAAGGTAATTAATGAATGTTGGACTTAAATAATTCGTGGCAATGGGGAAATTCGTCTCAATCGTTGTAATGAGGAAATGCTATATTGAAGTAATTCATCACAATCGTAGTAGAAAGGAACAGTGTATTTGTACAATTCGTCTCAACCGTTGTAATGAGGAAATGTTTACGTAATTCATTTCAAGCGTGGCAGCGAGGGCATGTTCTCTAATAAATTCGGTTGTGTTCCAGAAAAAATGTGTTACTTGCATCTAAATAAAATGACCTTTCTGCCTGTTAAGTAGTTTAGGTAATATCAATTATTTGTTTTGTGTGTACATAGTAGCCTTTATTTTAGATTTAGGTTTAGGGTAATCGCATTATTTGCTGGATCACTTGCTGTGTGTTAGTGGGATACAAGGGTTGTAATATGATAAACAAATTCATGTAAAACTGCTTTATCCTGTTTTGTCCTCACCCAAAAGCGAACCTGAATAATAGACTTCATTTTTAAATCAACATACTTATCTGAAAATCTGTGCACGACTAAAATTTCCCCTCTTCATACCTTGAAATCTAGAATGATTACATGAACCACCTGTGTATAGTCACACTTTCGGAATGTTCTCGTCCCAAATAAAATGTTTTACAAAACTGGCAATTATGTGTGGCGTTGATGTGCTACTAGTCCGAGACACACCCGTTGTGCATTGTGTATTTTTATTTACAAAGATATTTAAACCTGCATAATTTGTTTGACAAAATATTCAGTTGAAAGCCTCAATGCCTGTATACAAACCTATATGCAGTCATAAAATCACCACACCCACGGATCTCGTAACGCGTGATTGACCTGAAACACACCCACATGCACTTTAGACGCGTTGACACTGACGTGTGTGTGTAGCCCATATTTAGATGAATTACTTGGTGTATATAAAGTCAATGTGTGTTTTCATACAATAAGCTGTTCTCTAGTATCACACACTCTTCCATTAAAACCCCCAACGCATAATGTGATAGAAGAAACAAGGTCACACCCGCCAACCCTGTTGTACTCCATGTGGAAATTCAGTTAACTGGGTGTGGACGGTATCCATGCATCCTCTTTGCCAATGTCAATACACCAGTTCCCGTTCTCAGGTTTCATGACTAACGCCGCTCATGGTGAGAATGAGTATATCTTTTATCATAATACTATTGATATTTATCGAATGGCTCACAGGGCAAACGTACCGTGACCATAAAGGGGACGCATTCTTGTTACAGGTAGACGGGGCGAGGCATTCATTGTATCAATGTGGCTGTATGTCCTGAATACTCCTCAAGGTTTATTGACCATTAGTCAAAAGTATAAATAGTTGCTGAATGGTTGAATAAAAGCTTCGACTTGTTAGTCAATGAGGCTCCCTGCTGATTATGTTGAATAGAGCCTCAACAACAGGTCATGGAAGGGAGTTAAGATTCCCCGTCAGACAACCTTCAACTACAGCAATCTTTGGTGTAGTGGTTAGAGCGTCCGCCCGGAGAGCGGAAGGTCGCGGGTTCGATCCCCGACCGCGTCATACCAAAAGACGTTAAAATATGGTACTTGTTGGTCCCTGTCTGGCGCTCGGCATTAATGGGTACAACAAGGACTGGTCGGCTCGGAGTCAGTATAATGTGTCAGAGTGGGGGTATTTCTGCTTCACTGCGGCATGGTACCATCTTCAATTTGGGCTAGTACAAGCAGCCGCACATACACATACACACGCATGCACCTCGTCATATGAGCGAAATATTCTCAAGCACGACGTTAACCCCAATTTCACCTCACCTCACCTTCAAATACAGCAATCTTTGGTGTTACATCACGACTAACACTTCTCGTTATGCTAATATACATACATGCACTCATTATATTTACATGACAGTTTCGGCGCTCGTTCAGTGAAATCATCAGTTTTATCTGTATTTGTAAGAGGTTAAATAACCAGCATGCAAAATTATTTAAGAAATATAATCTGAATGCATACAAGTAAGAAAAAGTCATATTATATGGAGTGCGTGAGTGAGTTTAGTTTTACGCCGCTTTCCAGCAATTCCAGCAATATCAAGGGGACACCAGAAATGTAACCATTGTAACCATATGGGGAATCGAACCAGGATCTTCGGCTTGACGACGCCTTAACCACTAGGATACCCCACTCACTGCAACAATAATGGGCTATGTAGGTGTGACTAGGCGGATGTACACGAGGTTCCGGGCCACCTTTAGGAGCGACGTCTTGCTCATCATTGAACGTTTATTTCAAGTGTAAAGAATACCTTTAATACAGCGACGTTTGTAGAATGGGTGTGGTGTCTTCACTCTATCACCGAAACGTTATACACATAATGGTTTACAAACAACATTCCTGCTGGAGCATTGTTCACAAAACCGCTCCCGTCATGTACATGCGTAGTATCACGTTCACCTTATGTTGACAAAAGAATTACATAAATCTAGTTATTTTTAAATATATGTTGTTTTTGTGGTGCACTTAGACCAGATGACAGTTCGTATGAGCGTGTTCGTTATGGTGAGTGAGTGAGTTTACGTCGCTTTTAGCAATATTCCAGCAATATCACGGCGGAGGACACCAGAAATGGGCTTCACACATTGTACCCATGTGCGGAATCGAACCCGGGTCTTCGCGTGACGAGCGAACGCTTTAATCATTAGGCCACCTCACCGCACCGTGTTCGTTATAAACATAGTTTGCTGTATAACCCACGACCCTTTTCGTGTTATTCTGAATAGTAGAAAGAACAGAACATATCCATATTTTGTTTCCGCACGATGACAAATTTCACAAATAAACATGGCGATGGGGGTAGCCTAGCCGGTAAAGCCTTCGCTCGTCACACCAAAAACCAAGGTTCGATTCCCCACATGAGTACAATGTGTGAAGCCCATTTCTGGTGTCCCCCGCCTTAATGTTGCTGGAATATTGCTAAAAGCGGCGTAAAACTAAACTCACTCGGCTTGTGTACATGGCTTGTAAACTACCTCAGTCACGCAGTAATACAACGCAGTGAAAGACGTTTATCGACCAGTCTGACGGTCGAAACTACCACCAGTTACATATATTTTTTCCAAGAAGAATATTGGTCAAATGTCACAGTGCCATAAACGTTACATGCTTGATTCGATCGTGTCCTGAATTCACTGTTTGTAACGACGCTTCAGACGAGTGCATGTGGCAATGTAATACTACACTTCTTCAATTAATTTAGTCCCATGATGTCACAAATGGTATATGATATTTATAAGCAGCCACTGATCTCCTATTAGGGCTACATGTGACCCTGTCGCCGGAGTTTGCTGTACAGAGAAACGTCCCTTATCCACGCCAGGAACACATGCTGAACAGCAAAAGAAATGCAAGTTTCGAAAAAATGAAATTTCATAAAAGTAAGCGTTCATGTTTATGTCTTCTATTTAAAAACTAGACAAAAAAGACAGAGTTTCGTTTCTTTTGCTGTTCAGTATATATATGACAGCGGGTCCAAATCTCGGCTTGTGTACATGGATGTGTCTACACCATACCCGCGCTCGTGGGTTTCACCAAAATGGACAACGTCTGGGACCTGTTTCTCTTTCCTTTCACAGTAAGCTGACACGCCGTGCTATAACTGTCAAACGTGGCTTTAAACCCGACTCACCCGTTTTACGTAAATATTGATTTATTGAGACTTGATTCGCCTACACGGGCGTGTTTTATGTTCCATCCATAATGTTCTCCTCTCCTGTATCTCGGCCTATACTTTATGGTGTGTTACAAAGACTGTGTGTTACTGACAATGTGAATGGAAGACCAGACCAGACAAGACATCAATGATCAATAGTAGAATGGGTAACTGATAAGGACGCATATCCTCTTCAATTAAAACAGCTAGACTGCCATGTTGTTTCTGACTCTCAGACTCAGACTCAGGATTCTATTCTCATAAATCATACAAAATGATATCGAGAACATACATATATTTTGATAAATACAAAGTGCCATTTTGGCTTATATGCATATGAATATAATATAAATGTATAACTAAAACAGGGATAATACAATTTTCCTTCAACGTGACAGTTTCTGTACCAAAGGATGATAGTCAGATTTCATAAGGGAAACAAATTTATCAATATGGGGGTTATTACAAAAATAGCTAGGGAGTATACTTTTTCTTACATCATCTAGAGCTCTGCATGATAATATAATATGAAATTCGTCACATATAACAGGCTGGTTACAAATTGTACATATTCTATTTGTGTCTATGTTATACCATCTGCCGGTTTCAATCGGTAATGTGTGATTGCATGTTCGCAGTTTTGTTAACCAGATACGTTGTTTCAATGGGAGACTGATTAAATAAGGTTATAAGTTGGGAGTATGCTTATATAAGGAGTAGTATTTACCTTTTGATGCGTTTTGAAGGTCAGCATTCCATGATTGCTTAAACTGATCTATAAGTGTGTATTTAACATAGTTTTTCAGCCAGGATGCGGAAGGAAACCTTTGGGACTGCCATATATAAGATAACCCAACTTTTTGAAGTATACTTTTCACTACATTTAAAAGATCAAATTGAATACCCAAACAAGTTGACACATTAGCCATTACATTATACACTATATGTGGTAACTTATATATTGATGTAATGACTTTACACCAGTAACTTATTATTCTTGTTTTAATCATTACTTCAATAGGATATCTACCGAGTTCCCCATAAACCATAAAATTTGGAGTAGATTGTCTTACCTTAAATATATACTTACAAAAGTTCAGATGCGTTCTTTCTAAAATAGCTGCATTTTCATACACACAAACTTCTGACCCATATAATAAAATTGGTAAAATGCATTGATCAAAAAGTTTCAGCTGACAGTCAATTGGGATTTCAAATTCCCTAATAGATTTAAAAACAGAAAACATCGCCCGTGTTGCTTGTTCTGCAAGTCTCTTAATTGCTTTAGCAAACTTACCATTGCCGTTAAATAGAATTCCCAAGTATAGATATTCTCGGACAACTTCAATTTCCTCATCAAAAAGTTTAAACCTATATTTGTTCTTTACATAGCCTTTTGAAAAGATTACAATTTTGGTTTTATCTAAGTTAACTTTAAGTTTCCACAATGTACAATATGTTGAGAAATTATCTAAGCTTAATTGTAATTCTTCAGCACTTTCCGATAACAAAACAGTATCATCTGCATACAATAGTGCTAATAATTTTATATACATGCCAAGCTGTTCCTCAATAAAACAATTTACAGTACCAAGTCCATTTGCATTGTGTTCACATAAAAAGGTTTCAAGGTCATTAAGGTAGAGAGCAAATAAAAATGGAGATAAATTTTCACCCTGTCTAACGCCAATATTACAGTAGAAGAATGGTGAAGTAGAATCACCATGTTTTACACAGGATTTAATTTGTTGATACATATTGTAAATTATCTTAAAACATTTGCTGCTTATATTACTTTTAAACATTTTAATCCATAAACCATTTCTCCAATCCTGACGAAGGAGTATCACTGTGGGCATTAATAAAGAAGTTCACATAGGTCACGCCCACTTCTAGAAAAAGGTTCTTTTATATTGGAAATTAACATAAATTTTACAAATTATTTATTTATTACTTGTCTCAGTTTTCTTCAGGGTACATGAATAAGTCTGCGAGAAACTGAATGAATGAATAAAATATTTTGTATAATTTTATATTTTCGGCGATGATTATGTATACATGATACTCAGCTAAACAATTAACACTCTTGTGCCCTGTAAGTCCGGAAAACGGAACTTCCGACTGCAGTCGAAGAAGGCCATACACGACAACACGGGGTTCCACCCTTTACAGAGTTGTTTATAAGTTTTGTTTATCAGCAGATATGGTTTATGTACACATGTATAAGTATAAAATTTGCATGTTCCTTGACCTGTGAAGATCCGGGTTAGAATTGGTCTTCATAGGTGAGTGCGGCGTTAAACAACAAACAAACAAACGGCAAGTCCCTTGATTACAATTTTACATTGTAATGGAGATTTATTCCTAATATCCTCAAGACTAATATCCAAATGAACAAAGGAAAAGTCGTACAAAAGAAAAGGTAAACAATGTCCAGTAAACTACACATGAATATGAAGCTATAATCGGGGATAGCTTACAATAGACGATGGAAGGGAGGTGGATACCGTTACCAGCTTGAAACGATGCCATCCTGATTAACTGTAATTTCGCTGTATATCTTAGTTATGTTTATGTTACTATATTGTGTCTGTCCTTCCACAGGGGCGCCCAGTAGCCTAGTGGTTAAAGCGTTCGCTCGTCACGCCGAAGACCCGGGATCGATTCCGCACATGGGTATAATGTGTGAAGCCCATTTCTGGTGTCCCCCGCCGTGATATTGCTTGAATGTTGCTAAAAGCGCCGTAAAACTAAATCACTGACTGTCTTTCCACAGGCACAGGCAGACAAAGAAACAGGCACAATGGTGAAGGGAACATGGCCAACATGTGCGAAGTACACGCTCATAGTTTTCAACTTTCTTTTTATGGTGAGTATATTAACATGTCATCACCAATCAGGCTCCATTTGCGCAATCGGATTTTGCGCACTTTGTGGTTCCATATCTTTATTTACACTGGCCTTGAGCCTGCAAGATTTACAGCATAAAAAGTGATATGTATATACATAAGTTTGCGAATGGAGTAAACTTTGGGTATAATAGTTACAGTAATAAAGAAAAATTGAATTTACCGGGAGGGTAAAAATCGTGTAAATCACAAGGGCAGGGTTTTCTAAGATTTTTAAGCAAAGAGCACCGGAACTTTAGTACACAATGCTGTGTAGAAAGTGGTGCAATGCAACATAATATGTTACTAATATATAAACGATAGCACTCGTAAGTAAGGTACAGATTCTAGTTGTTTGGGGATTGAGTCCCATCTGGTATTCGCACCCATTCTCTCAGGGTTTGGGCGGTGTGATAGTCTTCTGGTTAGAGCGATGGCTCGTCACGCCGACGGTCCGGGTTCGATTACCCACATGAGTACAATGTGTGAAGCCCATTTCTGGTGTCCCCTGGCGTGTTTTGGTGGAATATTGCTAAAAGCGGCGTAAAATCATACTCACTCACTCATCCCCATCACAGAACGTCAACGATCTAACCCAATCAGCCACCTATTGATGAGACTCAACCTAAAAGAAGTTGTTTCACCTGCACATGTCAACATGACTTAAATGTCATTATTATCAAGATGTACGATAACGGAACAGATCTGGTGCTCCTGTGACAAATGAGACTGAGGTATTCTTCCTATAAACGAGAAGAATTTATAATTGTAGGTCGCTGGTATGGCGGGAGTTGTGCTTGGTATTCTCACAATTGTTGACAAACCGTTACTGAACTACCTGGGAAACATAGACTCCAGTGGAACAACCCAAGGCGTGATATCAAGTGGCTCGTATGCTATCATTGTCGGGAGCTGCATCATAATTCTCTTCGCCATCTTTGGCTGCTGCGGAGCTTGCAGGGAGAGCAAGTGCCTTCTCGGAGTGGTAGGTACATACTAGTCGATACTAACTGTGTCGCGTGTGTATGGTGAATCTCAATGAAAGCGCTAGTCGTATCTCGTAAGTAGCTATCTGTTTCCTAGTCTTTCATTCATCTGATGAAGGAGTAAGAGTATATTCCGAAACGTCGTGGTCATTAAATAAAGAAGCTGACATCTATTAATTCTCGCCTTTGTGTGTATCACTTCTGTCACATATTGTGTAGTGAGTTATCTCCCCTAGACCAAAAAGCTGAAGCGAGGCTTGCGGCGTGTGTCGCCATTACTGCCTGACAGCAAAAGATGTAGCCAGTGGTGATGTGGTTCTTAAGTAAATAAACCATTCATTCTGAACCCAAGAATCCTGTGACAACTTCTAAATGCCGTTCAAAGATTCAGTCGTAGTTGTTTTGTCTAAAGGTGTGGATGAGAAATGGTTTAACTCCAGTGGCTTTCTCTGTGCTGGACAACACACCATTGTGTCCTCATTGTCAGGGATACTGACGATATGTGTGTGGTACAATGCCACGACACAGTAGGACAATACCACGACACCGTAGGACAATACCGCGACACCGAAGGACAATACAATGGCACTAGCCAATATATAGAGGGTTCGTGCGTTATTCGCTTGGATTCGGTGTGGGGAGAAAGAGGAGGGTGGAAGCACAACCCCTAGTGTCTTTAAAGATTAAAATCATGATTTATTTCACAGTACTAGAAACAAACGGTTTTATGCATTCGTACTTTTGTCCTTAGATAGATTTGTATTTTCAATGCGCATCGTTAATGGTATATGTTACATTTAAGAAACATTGTCAGTTTTCATTGATTGTGCCAAATTAACACCGTCTGTTGTCTTTCAGTATATCGGCCTACTCTGTATCACCTTGATCGTGCAAATAGTTGCAGGGGCCTTGGCCGCGTACTTCAGAACACAGGTATATGAGCACAGGCCACGTTTGACTGTTAAACGTCTTTTGTGAATGATTGAGTGCCTTGGGATTCAACGCTCAGTTGAATAGTACTGTATGCAGTCGTGTGGGTTGTATGTGAGAGGTAGCATAAAACTGACGGTGTTTTAGACACGTTGATGAAACCAGGATGGCAGGAAACGTACTGTGAAACTGAGAATACATGGATTAACTTGGGCATAGTATCCTTACAAGCCTAAGAGAAGCTACTCTGCACAACGATATATTACACAATAGGCTACTGATCTACAGGTACACCATGTGTGTAAAGAAATAAGAACACATATAGTTTGAGGTTCAAGGATGAGAGTTCAGTGATTGTGTGTATTTTACAGTATGTCTGAAATATTCCGAGTGAGTATAGTTTTACGAACTCGGGTCTTCGGCGTGACGAGCGAGCGCTTTAACCACTAGGCTACCCCACCGGCCCCGAAATAGCCCGATCACTGACAGCAGCGTGTGTTCCAGGCTGAGGCGGAAGTAAAGGGCTGGCTCCTGGACCAGGTCAAATCTCAGTACGACGGCAGAGGGGACACACAGTTCCAGTTTGGAAAGGCGCTTGATTTTGCGATGGTCGAGGTAAGGCCAGAACCTTATATACAGCCAACCTAATACGCAGGTTACACAACGTATTGAAATAGTTCAGGCGGACAGACATACAACAAACATATTACACAGGTTATAAAAAAAATACAGTAATAGCAATTGCCGATTGATGTAGAACCAATGTAATGGTACATATGGAGACATACAACAGGTTACCAAAATAACGCAATAATCCATGCGTCTAGCATGGAACATGTATTCCGGGTGTATTGTTTGGTGATGATAAACGTGGCAATTCATATGTCGAATCCTACCATGAGGAGGGACAAAGTTCCGATAATACACCAATGATTATGCCCGGAAGGTGCTTTTTGAAGTCCTTACCCAAGTGTATACACGTGGATGAGGCATGATCTGCAATGCGTAAAACACCGCCCTACATGACGCCCCATACAATGCCCTACATAACGCCCTACACAACACTCTACATTGCGCCATACATAACGCCATAGATAACGCCCTACATGACACCCACATAAGGCCCTACATGACGCCCTACATGACGCCCTACATGGCACCCTATATAACGCCCTACATAACGCCCTACAATACACGCCCTACATACATACATAACGCCCTACATACGCCCATACATAACGCCATACATAACGCCCCCTACATAACGCCCACATAACGCCATACTACATGACGCCTACATAACGCCTACTACATAACGCCATACATAACGCCATACACATACGGCCATACATAACGCCTACACATAACGCCCTACATAACGCCCTACATAACGCCCTACATAACGCCCCATACATAAAACGCCTACACATAACGCCCTACATAACGCCTACATAACGCCATACATAACGCCTATATATAGCGACGCACATAACGCCCTACATAACGCCATACATAACGCCCTACATAACGCCATACATAACGCCCTACATAACGCCACACATAACGCCCTACATAACGCCCCATACGCCCTACATAACGCCCTACATAACGCCCTACATAACGCCCTACATAACGCCCTACATGACGCCTACATAACGCCCTACATAACGCCCTACATGACGCCCTACACGCCTACACAACGCCTATACATAACGCCCTACATAACGCCCTACATAACGCCTACACATAACGCCCTACATGACGCCCTACATAACGCCCTACATAACGCCCTACATAACGCCCTACATAACGCCTACATAACGCCCTACATAACGCCCTACATAACGCCCTACATAACGCCTACACATAACGCCGCTACATAACGCCCTACATAACGCCCTACATAACGCCCCACTACATAACGCCTACTACATAACGCCCTACATAACGCCCTACATAACGCCCTACATAACGCCTACACATAACGCCATACATAACGCCCTACATAACGCCTACACATAACGCCATACATAACGCCATACGCAAACGCCTACATAACGCCGACGCCATACATAACGCCCATACATAACGCCCTACATAACGCCTATACATAACGCCCTACATAACGCCATACATAACGCCCTACATAACGCCCTACATAACGCCTACACATAACGCCTACACATAACGCCCTACATACGCCCTACACATAACGCCCTACATAACGCCGCACCTACATAACGCCCTACATAACGCCCTACATAATGCCATACATAACGCCTACATATAACGCCCTACATAACGCCTACACTAACGCCTACATAACGCCCTACATAACGCCCTACACATAACGCCATACATAACGCCCCTCATAACGCCCTACCTACATAACGCCCACATAACGCCTACACATAACGCCATACATAACGCCATACATAACGCCCTCATAACGCCCTACATATAACGGAGGTTACATTGCTAAATCCACAAAGTTTCATGTGAATCGTGTTTGTCAACGTGCCAAACACTCTAGTGGATAGATTCCTAGATTAATCAATAGCTCGATGTCGTGAGAAAAAATCCGAATGCATTCCGAATACATTCGAGAGAAGAGAAGTCTCAAATAGACTGTAGTGTTGATTTAAAAATATGATTGCATATATTTAAGGGGTACATCGTCTCACTGAAATGCGACTTGAGATTCAAATGCATTCATTCCTCTGCTCATTGACTTGCATTCATGAGGAAATACTATTTATTAAATGCAGTATTGGGTTGAGAAAGTCCTCATGAGACTTGTGAGGACAGAACAATATAGCAGAATAATGTGTGGAGATTGCACATTCAAAAGCCTGAAACTGCTATGTATGGAAGAGTGAGTGAGTTTGGTTTTACGCCGATTTTAGCAATATTCCAGCAATATCAGGGCGGGGAACACCTAAGTATGGAAGAAGAGTGCACATGAGAATATACATATTCTTGTATGTTGTTCAGTTTGAATGCTGTGGAATAAACAACTATAGCGACTTTAAAGACACGGCTGCCAACTGGACCGAGCGAAGATCCAGAATCATCCCTATTGCTTGCTGCAAGCTGGACAAGCCAAAGTTTTACAGCACTAACCTGTTCATAGTGAACGATACCACCTGCACCACTGCTCCCACCTATATCAACTCTAATATTGCCACTGTGAGTTCCCTTAGGACATGTACCATTCTCCTCAGACTCACAAAAACTGAAAGACATCATGCATGAGGGACCGGGTTTGTTTGGGTCCTTTTTAACTTTTTTGGGGTAGGGTGGTGAGACAAAGAAGTCGTCCCAAAATGCGTCCAGGAGAATATAATTATGGTATGCTTCAGACAGATGAAAAACATACGTTGCCCGCCACATATAAAATTACATCTACAACATTTCGGTTCATTGTTTTAATTGAAAACCTTGTCAATTGTGACTGAAAAATATCCAGACTCCAGACTATCAGTCAAACCCCGAACCCGACCCCCAAAACAGCAACAAATGGTTGGTCTGTTACTCACCATCATTAATATCAGTTGTAGCAGTTAATTATCTTGACGTTATCAATACATAGATATTTTGATACCCAATGCACTGATAATTTATTACCACCTGTTGTGTAATGAAGCTCGGTGACTTGTGCTTACGAACCCAGAACTCACTTTACTGATCCCCATCTCTGGATCTGTGCTTCATTTCAGCCATGCTATGACAAGATTCTAGATCACATAGTGACGCAAGCCATCTACATCATTTTCATCGCTTTTCTAATTGTGGCTTTAGAGGTAAGTACCCTTTCTCTGTTCTGTTCTAATTCTGTTCCTGCTGGTTTTTTGTCGGTAGCTGTAATATTGCTGAGTGTGGCGTAAAACTAAACTCAATCAATCAGTACAGGCTAGATCTTGCTATGTTAGAGGTCAGTGCTATTTTGTTCTTGCTGTGTTAGAGATCAGTACTATTTTGTTGTTGCTATGTTAGAGATCAGTACTATTTTGTTGTTGCTATGTTAGAGATCAGTACTATTTTGTTGTTGCTATGTTAGAGGTCAGTACTATTTTGATTATGTTGAGTGAGAACCATGGAGACATGACTATGCACTACAATGAAAAGTCAATTTGTTGAAAAATAAGGTATGCCTACATTTCAATATTCAAAAATATTATCTCTGTTTCTTGTTCAGCTTGAGATGCTATTTTCCTGTTGCAGGTCCTGGGGATTGTATTTGCGTGTTGCCTGATTCGGAAAATAGGGGATTCCAAGGTCTGAGAGACCCGTGTGCACGAACTCATTCGTACATACTTGCCTTCAACGTCTTGTGTAATATTTCATAACTGTGTGCATCGGTTCATCACCCTCGACGGGTCGCCTGCATGGATCAGTCTCCATGCTTATCTTTTTTAACAAAATATTCGAGAATATTCCTTTACGTGCAGTAATGTGTAGGAAGAAATGTGTGTCTTCACACACGGTGACATGAGAACACAAACATTATATGAACGAGTACCTTTCTGATGAAACAACGGCCCAAGTTCTATTCGTGCTGAATTATATTGAGGACCAACCCAGCTCGTCGCATCAGGATCGGGGTTAATTTGTTGCTGGATATATAGTTAACTGTTTGAGGGATGATGTTTTGGTTTTTTTGTTATTTCAATATTCTAGCGATGACGGCGGTCTGTAAATAATGAGAATGGGCCATACAATCCAGTGAGCAACGAGTGAGCAACGATCTACGCAAGTCGGATACGATGAAATGTGTCAAGCAAGAAAGCGAATCTGACCACCTGATCCGGTTAGTCGTCTCTTACTACAAGCATGGGTTGCTGAAGACCAATTCTAACCCGGATCTTCACGGGTGATGGGTGATGTTATCAAAAATAATGTATCTGAAGGGAAATGGTAAACTGGTTCCTGCATGGACGGATCGAGTGACCTGGCTACTGGACTGATTGAATACGTCGGTTTTGTTGGATCAAATAAATTATGGTCTGTTTGCAGTGAAAACGTACCGATGAATGTCATTATAAACAAAAAAGTAAATCATATAAAGTGAAATTAAGATACTTATAATCATAATTTTACCTTGCCAAATGAACATTTAAATCTGAGAATTTTATTCAACTTAAGATAAAATTTTAAAGTTGCTTAACAAACGATCATAGTTTCAAATCGCCATTACTGGCTTGCATTACAAGGGGGTATGCACATTAAACGAAACACCGAGAGCAAGTAGGGTTAGTCTGAGAACACTCATCACGTACCGCACGTGCATTTGTTTCATTGTTCTAACTACTTCCCTTACCCCTTGTAATACAAACCAATATTAGCGATTTGAAACTATGATCGTTTGTTACACAGGTTTTATAGTAAGTTGAATGCAATTTTGAGTTTTAGTTGTTCAGTTGGAAAGGTCAAATTATGAGGATTCGCAATCTTAATTTCACATGATTTGATTTACTTTTTTGCTTAAAGTGAAATCCATCGGTACGTTTTTACTGCTAACAGACTATAGCTTGTTTGCGACAAGAGGGACACAACTGTCGCTACTGTCTGTGTCGCGGTGGGTGGGGACGGCTATGGGATTTTACGACTGTTTCATTCATTGAAATGTGAAGTACTGATGTGTCCTCTTCTGCAATCGACACATACACAGCTACATTTAGAGCTACTCTTGATGCCCATACGTATGTATATCTCACCAATTCAGATTGTTATGAACACTGTTTTGTACGTCTAACATCATTCTTGGAGCGTCAGGAACAACTTTGCATTCATGGGTGTTCTCCAAATCGTCTCTCATCATACTTGTACGATCCTCATCTATTTTACATTTTATAAGTCATAAGTCATGAAAGTAAGTCGGGAGTCAATGGTAAATTGAGTGTATATATATGTGTGTAGTTAAGAGGCCTTAGCTGTTGACGTTTCCATAGATATAACGACTGACCCGGAGGATTGTTGTGAAGCACTGACCATTCAACTGACGCTATGTGTACCACTCTGCCCATGCACGTTGTTCCAGAGGTGAGAACAACCTGCACAAAATGGTATTCTGACAGCGCTACGGCGGCCCACAGATGACGTATTAAATATGTTTGTATAGAGACTACAATTAAAACACTGTCGTCAGGTTTAGTGTTTTGTGTTATGTGAACTGTTTAAAGATGAGTCCAGAATATGTTATAAACAAAAAACAAAAACAAAACAAAACACACACGTACACGTGTGTGTGTGTAAATATATACATAAACACACGCGCACACATGCACACACATCCACGCACATACCTACATCACCGACACACACAGCAGACATATCGCATACATTCACCAGTCACCACACACCTGCTCAGTTGAGTTATGTTAAACACCAGTAACAGTAACGAGGGATGCTGTGGAAACAGCCTGTCGCCGGCCTGACTGAGTAGAGGCAGGATGCTGTCCGACCGAAAGAGTACGGTGTAGAACAACGAGTGATCGGGCCGGAGCCGGAGCAGTAAGTTTTAAATACACTGTTGAAAACGACTGCTGAGGAGCACTGTGCACAGTCATGTCTGTCTGACTGTCTGACTGACTGACTGACTGACTGAGTGAGTTTGGTTTTACGCCGCTTTTAGCAATATTCCAGCAATATCACGGCGGGGGACACCAGAAATGGGCTTCACACATTGTACCCATGTGGGGATTCGAACCCGGGTCTCCGGCGTGACGAGCGAATGCTTTAACCACTAGGCTACCCCACCGCCTCCAGTGATGAAGTAGAGCACAGAGGAGTAATGTGTCAAAAGACTGATGAAGTCGGGTGCGGAGGAGTACTGTGTAAAATCAGGGATGGAGTTGGACGCGAAGGTGTACTGTGTAAAATCAGTGATGAAGTAGGCGCAAAAGTGTACTGTGTAAAATCAGTGATGGAGTTTGGCGCGAAGGTGTACTGTGTACAATCAGTGATGAAGTAGGGCGCGAAGGTGTACTGTGTAAAATAAGTGATGGAGTAGGGCGCGAAGGTGTACTGTGTAAAATAAGTGATGGAGTAGGGCGCGAAGGTGTACTGTGTAAAATAAGTGATGGAGTAGGGCGCGAAGGTGTACCGTGTACAATCAGTGATGAAGTAGGGCGCGAAGGTGTACTGTGTAAAATAAGTGATGGAGTAGGGCGCGAAGGTGTACTGTGTAAAATAAGTGATGGGGTCGGGTGCGGAGGAGTACTGTGTAAAATAAGTGATGGAGTCGGGTGCGGAGGAGTACTGTGTAAAATCAGTGATGGAGTCGGGTGCGGAGGTGTACTGTGTAGAATAAGTGATGGAGTCGGGTGCGGAGGAGTACTGTGTAAAATAAGTGATGGAGTCGGGCGCGATGGTGTACTGTGTAAAATCAGTGATGGAGTCGGGCGCGAAGGTGTGCTGTGTAAAATCAGTGATGGAGTCGGGTGCGGAGGAGTTCTGTGTACAATCAGTGATGGAGTCGGGCGCGATGGTGTACTGTGTAAAATCAGTGATGGAGTCGGGCGCGAAGGTGTACTGTGTAAAATCAGTGATGAAGTAGGGCGCGGAGGAGGACTGTGTAAAATGGGGCCAGGAAGAGTATTTTTTTTAATCTAGTGATGTACTTTGACAGGGGGAGTATTTTTTTAACAACAGTGAAACATTTTGCTTTTAACTTTTTACATGACTGCTTTTCGGGAACAATGCGTTACGATACTTGATAACCTGGGGACAGATATGTTATAGTTCTCTAGATCTCTTCTCATTTTGCAGGTATAATCTGTAATGTTTAATATTTATATACCTCTTTATCACTATCATAATTATGGAATCCTTGAAGGGACATTGTCGCGTTGTCGCCCTCTCACAAACAAGCAAAATGAGGCAAAATTAACCAAACCGCGACACGCGACATCGCGACAACGCAACACTTCGCCCATTTGTCGCGATGTCGCGTGTCGCGTTTTAAATAATATTCTTTTTTATTCCTCCAAAGGGCGACACGCGACATAGCGACAATGACCCTTCTCGGATTCCATACGTAATAATATCGGGCTCCTATAAGAGAGAAATCCTTATTTACACACTGTCTTTCCGGACTCCAAAGGCATGATTGCTTCTTTCATCGATTAAAGGTCTTATTCAACAGACCATACATTAAACTTAAGAGTGGGACAATGTAATCATACAAAAGTTGTATGACGTGAGATGTACTGTGGTAGTCCCCATGCTTCAATCTATTCTTGGCCATATCTCAGCTGACTTTGCTGAGTCATTCTACCGTGTGTCCATACATTGACAGTGTTTAAGGGGTCACCAAGGTGGATATCGACTACTAGCTCTGGAGTTAATATGTATATATGCGCTTTGGGGGTAATGCCATTTGAAGAGTAATTCAGTTATATGACAGTTTTATGTGCTTTAGTGAAGTTTTCAGGACTTCATTGGTAGACGTGGCGGAAATTCCAAATTGATCAGTGACAAAAATGAATTCCCCATTTAGACTGATACCACATGTACTCGTTGATTTCGACATATTTGAATAATTTACTTGCCGTTGCGTGTGTTTGTGACGTGTGTGCAACATTCTGTAGATAGACGGATATATACAGTCAAATGCCACAGGCCTACAGAACATACCTGTCACATGATAGGAAATACTATTCCTCAGGCCACCATTTAATCACTTTCGAGGAATAAATTCATAGTTGCGTGGCACATGTGTGTATATCTTAATATCTATAATTGGCAAATGTTTGGACTGAGACATCAAAGTGGGAGTAATAATGGGCGGTAGGCAACAAACATTTAATTGTCATTAGCAGGTGCTACTTGTAGAGCAGGGCATGCTCACCCTATCAGCGAATACCGTGTGTTATTACTGTTTCAAAGTGGCTTATTTGTATCTACCGTTTTGCCTTTGATGATCAATGGAATCAATACTCTTCATTTTATATTTGAAGAAAGGTAATTACGTAACGTTTATGTTGGTAAACCCTAAACAATCGTTTGTTTTCGTTGTACGAGAAAAATAATTACCCAATGTGGAACATATGAACTGTAAGTATTACCCCAGGACAAGATTAAAGGTCCCCAGCAATGTGAACGTAACGGTCAAGGTGACCTGGTTAATAGGATGTTGTCGCATCTTAATTACGTCAATCGATGCTGAAAATGTCAAACACTAGAGTAAGTGAGCAAGGTTCTACACCGCCTTTAGGAATATCCCAGCAATATCAATCTGGCGAACACCAATGAATGGGCTTCACAGATTTTACCCATGTGGCAATCAAACCCCGGTTTCGTAGTGACGGGCCAACGCTTTGACCGCCGGGCTATCCCAATCCCAACTGGATTGCCGGATACAGGGTGCATAATTTTCAGACAGTTATAATATTGCTGCTTGCAGCGTAAAACAAACTAACAGCCAAATATTCAATACCTGTTTGCTTGTCAAAGATGCTTACGAGCCAACAGTCGAAGGCAAAATGATCTTATTATATTGCGAAGGGCGGATAACTCTGATTTGTGTATATATTCAGTGGACCTGTTCCTGAACGGTAAAAGTGGAGCACGGCTTGTTCGACCCAAGCGGTATGTAAGTTTCTCGTGTATAACAGTAAAACGTTTAACTGACATGAGGCAGCGTATCTTCGTATGAACACTCTGCTTGCAATATGAAGTTGACAATGTATATCGTGCTCAATGCCCTTCGCCTGTCCACTGTCGGTATGTCAGCGTGACTTGCAGTCAATGGACAGTGTTGATAATTTAGTAAGTTCAGTTCTCTCCCAAGCCACACAAGCGTACAAGGCCGATGTACAAGGTTCATTATCCGTAACTGTCGTGACCATACGGGAATAATGCCGTGGGCAATAGCCCTGCATGTGTCAGCCTTATATCGGGGACAGTTGACCTGTTGACCCGATTTCTAACCCCTCGCGGAGGGACTAGCTGACTAGGACTAGAGTAATGTGTGACCAGGTAGTCGGTACTGCTTCCGAATAGAGTATTTTCTCAAGGTCTTGTCGTATCATATCTAAACATACACAGATTGTGAGATGACTGTGATACCAGTGAGGCTGTGACTGTATAACGGGGTGATATACGGGTACGCGTATGGAGGAAAACCGACTGTACATGGAATGTAGTAATAACTGGTGTCTGTAGCTACCTTACTTCAGGACTAGCTGACATTAATGTTGGCTAGTATTTACACAAATTAGTTGCTGTGTCACGATGTGTGTGTGTGTGTGTGTTTTACCAATGTGTCCTATATATACTGAGAGAAACAAATAAAGGATCACAGGAAAATTCAAGCGTACCTTTAATATTTTACAGTTTTCATCACCACAGCCCTATTCAAAACTGGTGGTGAAAACTGGAAAATTTAAAAGGAACGCTGAATTTTCCTATGTTCCTTTATTTATTTCTATCAGTATATATAGGACACATTGATAACACACACACACACACACACACACACACACACACACACACACACACACACACACACATCGTGACACAGCAACTAGTTTGTGTAAATACTAGCTAACATTAATGTATTGTATACATATGAGGTAGAGATTTGGGTGCCGTTGTACAAAACAACCTTAGCGCTAAGACTGACTAAAGTGTATGTTAAGGTATGGGAGTTAGGTCACCTTAGTGCTAAAATCGCTTTGTACAGCGATACCCTGGTAGGAATGAGATCGTATTGTTTTAAGTATATTTTATTGTCGACGGGATTAGGCGTCAACTTCTCTATCAAACATAATGTTGAATTATGGGAATGAACAATTTACATTTGAAGCCTGACATTGTGGAAACAGGATGTGTATAATCTGCTGGAAATTCAATAAGCTGTACATATCATGCATGTGTAAATATTATACAGTTTACTAGAATGTTACATATAGACTAAACTATATAAATGTTTGGAGACAATAATATTAAGCTAGCTGCTTAATTTGTTTATCGTTTCTGTATATTTGAGTAAAGACAAGAATATATTTGCATTCGGCCAGTTGTTTAGATTAGGGTCACCGAATAAACATGTGTGCTGTGTTTTATTTCCTCCAAGTTTATCAATATCTAAGAATTGTGACACCCCGAAGTCATCCTATAAAGTGCATTAATAAAAAGGTGGAATGAATTTTCGCGTGGGATCAGATATGTTAAAACAGATTGACATTTGTGCTGCATATGTTTTTGTATATATATCCGCAATTATAATACATCGATGGTAATGCAGACTGGTCCCACACAACAGCTTCAATAGCTGTTCACAGACTATTCCTATCTTCTAACGGTAGAGTACTCCATTTGCCTAATGTATCTTTAAGATAAGACCTTTTTAACGTAAAATTATTATCATTCCTGAAATTTGATTTGTTGACTAAATATGTTGTATTCTAATGAGGGAGATATCTTTTGTTTTATGAGAGATATCTGGTAGGAATGTGTTGTTTTATGAGAGAGATATCTGGTAGGAATGTGTTGTTTTATGAGGGAGATCTGGTAGGAATGTGTTGTTTTATGAGGGAGATCTGGTAGGAATGTGTTGTTTTATGAGGGAGATCTGGTAGGAATGTGTTGTTTTATGACTGACTGACTGAGTTTGGTTTTACGCCGCTTTTAGCAATATTCCAGCAACATCACGGCGGGGGACACCAGAAATGGGCTTCACACATTGTGCCCATGTGGGGATTCGTACCGGGTCTTCGGCGTGACAAGCGAACGCTTTAACCATTAGGCTACCCGACCGCCCCGTTGTTTTATGAGGGAGATCTGGTAGGAATGTGTTGTTTTATGAGAGATATCTGATAGGAATGTGTTGAGAGAGAGAATCTGTTTGGAGTGAGTGAGTGAGTTTAGTTTTACGCCGCACTCAGCAATATTCCAGTTATATGGCGGCGGTCTGTAAGTAATCGAGTCTGGATCAGACAATCTAGTGATCAACAGCATGCGCATCAATCTACGCAATTGGGAACCGATGACATGTGTCAACCAAGTCAGCGAGCCTGACCACCCGATCCCGTTAGTCACCTCTTACGACAAGCATGGGTTACTGAAGATCAATACTCTAATATAACCCGGATCTTCACGGGTTTGTTTATGAGAGAGATATCTGGTAGGAATGTGTTGTTTTATGAGACAGATAACTGGTAGGAATATGTTGTTTGATGAGAAAGATATCTGGTAGGAATGTGTTGTTTTATGAGAGAGATAGCTGGTAGGAATGTGTTGTTTATGGGAGGGATATCTGGCTGGAATGTGTTATGAGAGAGATATCTGGTAGGAATGTGCTCTTTATGAGAGAGATATCTGGTAGGAATGTGCTCTTTATGAGAAATGAGAGATCGGGATCTGGTAGGAATGTGTTCTATTGTCATGAAAGAGCTATCTAGTAGGAATGTGTTGTATTCCTATGGTGGAGTATTCTTGTGGAAATGTGTTCTACTGCTTTGAGGGAGAGATGTGGTAGGAATGTATTGTATTGCTATCATGGAGAAATATGGTAGGGATATTTTAAGTCCTTTTTTCTTATGAGGGAGTGAATCCAGAAGAGATATCCGGGATATGTCTGAAGTCAAAGTGTACTTGTTTGCAGTTAGACATCTTTTAGTAAACAATACGGCTGTGACAAGCCGGACTTTAAACTCACACGCTAACAGTAATAGACCGTTCGACTCCTTCCAGATAAAACGTAAGTTCCATCATTCTCTGGTGTGGCTAAGTGTATGGCTGCATGGCTATCTCCACTAGAGGTTTCTTATTGGAGACAGTGGTGTACAGGGACCAACTGGGAAAACAATGACTTCTCGACGTCAGGAACAAAGAGGGTTACTTTATGAGAGGTCCTCTGGGGCAACGTCACCCGACTACAGCGTGTCTTCGATGGAGGATGTAGACATCTCACAGCGCCCATCAGGTAAGGTAGGATGAAGATGAACATTAAGAAAGGTTCAGCTATACCTTTTTACTTGTATATTATGTGCTATACTTATGTAAGGCATCATAATGATTAGATATGGTGATTACCCGATACAATGTCACAGTTATCTACGCCAGTCTAAGACGCCGCCATAAGTCATAGTGTTGATGAATACATGACACGGCTTTTTTAAAACAACTTCTTTTTATTCTTTATAGGACGTTTCAGAGCTAATTCCTGCTCTTCCATCAGGTGAATGCTGAGTCTATATCAGACTGAATATATAGAGATAACACGTCTACACTTTTCTGTTCAAGAACTTCATAGTATGGATGTCATATATTTGAGTATTTTGAATCAGCAATGTAAATTGTATATAACTAGTCATTATAAAAATTGTGTTTGATGTGGATTTCACTGACAAAGAGAACAGTTAACTATTCCATCCGAACCTTGACATTTTCCTATCTGTCTTTGACCATCTCGTGATGATTTATTCAGGCTGCGAGACAACCCTGTGGGACATGTATTCCTAATCAGGTACCATGTGACAATTGTATTCCTGATCCTACCCAATGGGTCATAATTTCCTGAGCAATTACCCGCTTGTTCAGTTCTTCCTGAGCTAACACCAACTAGGTCATATCTTCCCAATCGGGTGCCCAGCTGGTAATATGCTCTTAACCAGGTGTCAAACTGGTAATGTCTTTCTAATCAGGTGCCCAACTGGTAATATGTTCCTAACCAGGTGCCCAACTGGTAAAGCCTTTCTAATCAGGTGCCCAGCTGGTAACATCTGTCTAATCAGATGCCCTGGTAATTTCTTCCTATTAAGGTGCCAAACTTGGCAGGCGTCCAGCTGGTAATATCTTCCTAATCAGGCGCCCAGCTTGTAATATCTTCCCAGTCAAGTGTCCAGCTGGTAGTATCTTCCAAGTGTCCAGCTTGTAATATGTTCCTAAGCAGGCGTCCAGCTGGTAACATCTGTCTAATCAGATGCCCTGGTAATTTCTTCCTATTAAGGTGCCAAACTTGGCAGGCGTCCAGCTGGTAATATCTTCCTAATCAGGCGCCCAGCTTGTAATACCTTCCCAGTCAAGTGTCCAGCTTGTAATATCTCCCTAATCAGGTGCTTAGTTGTTCATACTTACCTTTAAAGTCACCCGATGTGTCATATCATTAGTAGGCACACATGGAGTCAAATCTTCCTAAACACGAATCCCTAGGTTATGCCTCCCCAGGTCCACTTCCTGTGTGTCATGTCTCCCTCAACACGTTTATTCCACACGCATTTCATATCTGTCATATCTTCATGAGCACATACCTAGTAAGTCATATGTTCATAAGGGTGTATACAGTTAGTCACATCAGCCTATGTTCCTAATTTGCAGAGGCCATATGTTTCTTAACACGTACACTGTTCTATCTGAAAAAAGATGGTGAGGTGAGGTGAAATTGGGTTTTACGTCGTGCTTGAGAATATTTCGCTCATATGACGACGTGCATGCGTGTGTACATGTACGTGCGGCTGCTTGTACTAGCCCAGACTGAAGCTGGTTTTATAGTGCTAGCCCACTGAGATACCATGCCGCAATGAAGCATGAATACCCCACTCAGACACAGTATACTGACTCCGAGCCGACAAGTCCTTGTTGTACCCATTAATGCCGAGCGCCAGGCAGGGACCAACAAGTACCATATGTTAACGTCTTTTGGTATGACGCGGTCGGGGATCGAACCCACGATCTTCCGCTCTCCGGGCGGACGCTCTAACCACTACACCACGGAGGCCGTCCATTTGAAAAAGAGATAATATGAAAATTACATCATGTTGAATCGTAAGCCCAGGATTCAGTGAATGCAAAGTTTTCAAAGAATAACACGTGTAACATGTGGACGGACTGTGTCCATTTTTATCCAACTGTCATACTACTAATTGTGCGTAATCATTTTGTGGAACCAGGTTCATGCCTTGCACATTATTCAAGCACGTTGGTTGAGCTTGGAGATAAGAAAAGTATAGGATTAATACGGATGGCCCAATACATGACAGAAAAGCTCTCAATCCATACGTAATACCGTACGCTAAACCCCGATAGACTACATGTAGCTTCCACCCATTCAGTTACCACTGTGAAGACCTTTGGCGTGGTGGCATGTATCCTGGTCACCGAGATGTGCGAGAGGCTGACGTACTACGGTGTCAGCGGGAACCTGGTTCTGTTCTGTACAAGTGTTCTCAAGTTCACCAGCCAAGACGCTACAAGTGTTCAGCTTGTGTTCACAGGCATGTATAAACATTTGCATTGTCCTTCAGTACCCTTTATACACCTGTAGGGGCGGTGGGGTAGCCTAATGGTTAAAGCGTTGGCTCGTCACGCCGAAGACCCGGGTTCGAATCCCCACATGGGTACAATGTGTTAAGCCCATTTCTGGTGTCCCCCGCCGTGATGTTGCTGGAATATTGCTAAAAGCGGCGTAAAACCAAACGCAGTCAGTCAGTCAGTTACACACCTGTAAGGGCGATGGGGTAGCCTAGTGGTTTTAACCGTCTCTCCTCACGCCGAAGACAGGGGTTCGATTCCCATATGGGTACAATTTGTGAAGCACATTTATGATGTACCACCGCCGTGATATTGCTGGAATATTACTAAATTAAGCGGCGTAAAACTCACTCACTAACTCATTCACCTCAATCGGACCACTGTAATATATTCCTTAAGTTAACCATTACTATAGATTAAAAAGAACGGTAATATGTGAGTGAGCATGGTTTTAACAATATTACAGCAATATTACGGCGGGAAACTCCAGAAAGGGGCTTCACACATTATACCAATGCGTGACGAGCGAACACTTTATCCACGAGGCTTCCCAACCGACCTAATAACGGCTATGAAACACAATTAGCGTCGATAGTGAGTTAATGGCGTTGACAAGACTTGGGCTAGTCTTTGTGAACACAGATGCACTTAAGACTTCACTACATAGCTGATTGATTTTGCCAGTTTATTTGGATATGGATGCACGTCATCGAAAAAGAGTTAATGCAGTACTGAAAACGCGTGTCAAACATTACCACTCAATATTTAATAGGGATTCTAAGATTTTTTGTTTTGCAATCAGACTTAGAGGAAATTAGGATTGGTCTGCTTTGTCGTGTAGGTCGATTCATATTAATAAGACAGGGAGTGAGTCCAGTGTATTTATGGCAATAGAGTGAAGCCGTAATACGCTGTGTCTGAATCCCATGCGATGAGTTAAAGGAGACCATTATCTGATATCAGCTGCTCTCTGACGTCTTCAGGCACATCCTATCTGTTCCCCGTCATCGGCGGCTACGTGGCCGACTCTGTCGCTGGTCGCTTCAACACAATCCTCGGATCCTGCTTCATCTACATCCTTGGTAGGAACAATGAATAAAATTATTGTTTTCAGTAAATGAGATTTGGGTGGGATGTGTGTGTGCGTACGTGCGTGTATGTGTATGTGTGTTTGTGCGCGTGCGTGTTGGGGTTTGAGGTAGGGTGCCTGGGATGTTATCGAAAACAATTTTATCCTTCAGACCTTCAAAAGTAAAAATGACAGTTATTCAAAAACTTCACAATACAAACATGTTTATGAAGTTATTTCAATACAATTACTAATTATGAAACGACAAGCTATTGTAAGTATATATGGTGAACATTCTATTCTCATTCAAATGAATTAGTGTGCGATATTTTTATCTTCTTGATTTTCTGGTAAAGGTTCGTGTTGACCATATTTCTTATGCATTGCTCGTTCCTCGTATCACCTACTGTCAGCTAGCCAATGGTCTCCTGATCTGACCGCCTCCGTGGTGTAGTGGTTAGAGCGTCCGCCCGGAGAGCGGAAGGTCGCCGGTTGGATCCCCGACCGCGTCATACCAAAAGACGTTAAAATATGGTACTTGTTGGTCCCTGCCTGGCGCTCGGCATTAATGGGTACAACAAGGACTGGTCGGCTCGGAGTCAGTATAATGTGTCTGAGTGGGGTATTCTTGCTTCACTGCGGCATGGTATCTCAGTGGGCTAGCACTATAAAACCAGCTTCAGTCTGGGCTAGTACAAGTAGCTGCACGTACACATACACACGCATGCACGTCGTCATATGAGCGAAATATTCTCAAGCGCGACGTTAAACCCAATTTCACCTCACCTCACCTCTCCTGATCTTGTCCTCTAGGGTTATTCCTGCTGGCGGCGTGCTGTGCTGACTATGTGGCGTGGTTTGGTCAAGACGATGCAGGTCTTGCCTATGACCTGAGTCTGGTGTGTGTCATGTAATCTTGGAAACAATTCAACATTTCTAGATCTCACGGTTTGACGTTACTTGCTACAAGCGAGGCAACCTGTATGTGTATGTCAGGAATTTGAACACATACAGAGATTACTTCCATTCTTAAATCAAAACGAGGTCACGGTGACCCAGGTGTTGCAATTCGCTGTGTATAGGTGCATCCCTGTATATGCCTGAAACTTAGTGTATGATTGCGGGTTCGAATCCCGGTTTGCCCAATTGTGATTCTGTATTCTTCATCATACCCGTGCATGCTGGTCTCACCAAACCCTGAGGCCTCCATCTGTTCCGTCTTACTTTCTCTGCGATTCATCTGGAATATTGTTAAACCCAACTCACTCACAGATTCAAAATTTATGATCTACTCATAATAGATGATGACAGAGGCGGTCGGGTAGGCTAGTGGTTAAAGCGTCCGCTTGTCACGCCGACGACCAGGGTTCGACTCCCCGCATGAGTACAATCCGTGAAGCCCATTTCTGGTGTTCCCCGCCGTGATATTGCCGGAATATTGCTAAAGGCGGCGTGAAACCATATACTCACTCACTCACTCACTCACTCACTCATTCACTCGCTCACTAGATAATGACATCATAATAACATGATAACTATGTCGACCTTTTTGTCCCTTTCCACAAACATGCGTGTGTACCATTCTTTATGTTTCAGGAAGCCAAACAAGCCTATTTCTTGCTCGGCCTTGTCCTGGTTGCCATGGGGACGGGTGGAATTAAGGCCAATGTTGGTCCATTCGGTGCTCAGCAGGTCAAAGACCAGGGTCCGCTTGCAGTGCAGACATTCTTTAATTGGTATGTGCAACATGAGATGCTTGGTGGGCATTTAGAAGTTGGAAGGTAACAAAACAACGTATGGTATGGATTTACAACTTTAATATTTACAACACGACGTTTCTGGGCTACTTCTTGCCCCTTCATCAGGGCATTCACGACCTTGGTCCCCGCGTTTTACAGTGTACTCAATAAGCAATAATACTTAATACGTATATCGCTATGACAGGCTGGTTTGTAATGTTTTATATACGACTATACACAGAGGCCCTGCTAAGTGGAATCTGTTTTGCTGGACAGATAGGAATGACTGTTTCAGGTTTTACTGGTTTGTGAATCTGGGCGGTCTGATTGCCTACACCGCTGTGGCGTATGTACAACAGAACGTCAGCTTTGCCTGGGGCTACCTCATCCCGCTGATCAGCATGGCTCTTGCCGTGGTTATATTCATGGCGGGAAAGGGACAGTATATTCACGTCCCACCTGGAGGTATGGTTCTACCTTTATTACCCATTGGTTGGTTGCTGGTTTTTGTTTAACGCCGCACTCAGCAATATGGCTTTGTTCATGTTGTTGATCACTGGATTGTCTGCCCCAGACTCGAATATTTTCAGACCGCGCCCATATAGGTGGGATATTGCTGGGTGCGGCGTTAAACAACAAACAAATAAACACAAACATAAATAACCCTGTATATAAAAACCGTATACATGTTCACCACTGCAGATGCTACTTCACGCACTTGTGTATTGTTTACGTAATTCGGGAGGCATTGTTGACCTCATTGGGATCGTATTGTGACGTTGGTTGGAGGATGTTCAGTGAAGACTTTTATAATCCAACTGTGATATATTGTTTCTTTTGGTGTAAGGTGTGCCCTCTTTCCTAAAAGAATATATGCCTGAAGACGTTGTTCATGACACTGCTAGAGGTGGCTACAATCACACCAATGTAATCAATAGGTACCATGGATACACCTTAACTTCATCCCCACTTGGCTGTTCCAGAGAGCGTTCTGTCGACTTCCGTCAGTGTCTGCTGTCAGGGTTGCTCCTGTCACTCACCGGAAGAGGAAGAACGGCCTTCTTTGTCTTCTGCTCGTACCAAATATGGCGGCAGATTTGACGACCACACAGTCGATGGGGTGGTAGCCGTTTTGAGAATTCTTCCTATATTTGCTCTGCTAATTGGATATGCTGCAATATACGCACAGGTAAATGCAACACAAAACCATCAGCACGAAACACTTTGATGTACGAGTATCACTCATCCCCGATATATAGAGAATCTCACCCAAGTGTCTTCTGATATCAATTATATCAACACGAGTTGATAAAGTTACAAATATCCGAGGCTTGCCGAGGATATTTTTACTTTTATCAACGAGTGTTGATATATTTGATATCAGAAGACACGAGGGTGAGATTCTATTTATCATCCAAAATCACTCTTCATTAATTTTCAATGAAAAATGTACATCTCTGAACATGGTACTGCCATTGGACTTGCAGTGCAGCGATGTCATAGCATGATGACGTCATCAAGTACATGACGTCATAGCATTGTCAGGGCATTGTACAAAATCTACTGTCAAAACGATATCTCCTAGGAGATCTCACACAAGTTTTGGATGATAAATGAAGAAACGCACATTCTGCCACCATTATTTGTAGACATTCCGAGATGCTGTTCAGTACAGTATTAATAGTTCTGTAAAATGAAAGCATCCCAAACCTTACAGCGCCATTGGATTCGTAAAATCATGACATCACATGCCTCGTTTTAGGTGATGATTTTTAGGATCATCCTTACATGACTAAAAGGAATATTATGAAATTGATAGTCATGCCGGACATCCCTTATCCTTATCCTTATCCTTATCCCAATCGATGACACTATTTTGTCCTTGTGAATGTCGTGAATGGACAATGATATCCTATGATGACGATCTGTCGATTACGCCACATCAGAACAACTATTTGCCCATTACAGATGCAGTCCACATTTTTCCTGCAAAGTGAACGTATGAGTGTGAAGGTCGGAGGAGGGGCGATACCGGCAGCCATGTTAAATATCTTCAACACAATCATCATTCTGTTGTTGATACCCCTGATGGATAGACTGGTGTATCCGTGCTTCACTCGGTGCGGTCGTCCGCTCACATATCTACAGAAAATGGGTAGGTTTAAGATTGGATGTTTTGAATTAGTGGAGATGCTTGTCACGGAATTTAATGTCCCAAAGGTGATGGAATATGTATTGTTGAACGTTTCCGGGTACAAAGGTGTTCTGTAAACACGGAATTGTGTGGTGGTCTGGAATGTGGTATATACATCTGTTGGTCTGGTATCTGTACATGCATGTACATCTGTATAAGCCTAATGTTAGTCTATACACAGGGATTGGTCTGGTGTACATGTCTGTACACAGATGTGTGTCTACACACAGGTATAAATCTGTGCACAGGTTTTTATCCATAAACAGGAGAAGGTCTTAAGTATGTCAGTACACAGGTTTTGTTCTGGTATTGTTCTCTGCCGTACTCAGTCAGTTTTGTTCATTGTCCGTCTGTATAAAGGTATCACTCTGTCATTCCCACGTCTTTGTGTACTAGGGTATTACCCTGTGTGGTGCATTATCTGTCTGTACTCATAGTCTGCGTTTTGCTCATTGTCAGCTCACATGGGCACAATATGTGAAGCCCATGGTGTCTGGTGTCCCCCGCCGTGATGTTGCTGGAATATTGCTAAAAGCGGCGTAAAACCAAACTCAGTCAGTCAGTCAGTCATTGTCAGCTTGTACACATGCATCAATCTGTGTTGGTCACTGTCTGTACACAGGTATCAGTCTGTTGTTCACTCTGTATATATGTACCACTCTCTGTTGTCAGCTGTCTTTCTAAAAGCAGATATTATTCTGCGTGGTGCTTTGTCTGATAGTTTGCTGTTGTTCCGTCTGGTTCCAGGTTTCGGTCTGGTATTCTCAGCGAGTTCTGTAGCTGTTGCGGGTATATTAGAGATCTACAGGAAGCAGAATCTGGCCTCAACCGGAGGAGTCGTTCAGACACTGGGAGGCGAAAAGTTCAACGCCTCTCAGCTATCAGTTCTCACCCAAATACCACAGTTTGCCCTGGTCGGGTCAGCAGAAGTCTTCACAAGCATTCCAAGTCAGTGTAATGCATACTAGTACTTAAAAACTGTCTCTCTATAATCGCCTGACAGGAATACATTGGGGTTCAATAGTCTGAGAGTTGCAATAAATCATGATCCAGAAAATCAATGGTTCGAATCTCTTTAATTATTACTATCATTTTATTGGAGTAGTGCACAAAATGTGTAACGAACACTCCATAACGAACACTCCTATTGATGTTCTGATGATTGTATTTGCAATATGCAATATTTGCAGGATGTTTAAGATATACGGTAGGTACAGTGTGTTCACAACCAGAAATAGATGACTGTAAACTGGCATGTTTTGTATGCTGTGTACTAGTTTGTATTCGTTACATTTAGGCCTGCTTTATAGTGGAAGCTGACTTTCCACCTGTCATAGTGATGTACTTGAAGGTCTGGAGTTGGCTTCACCTAGGCATTGTCGTCCAGGAAGTGCCTACTAACTGTCTCTCTGTATCCATGTATCTCTGTGATGTGTTTGTAGGTCTGGAGTTCGCCTTTACTCAGGCACCTCCGTCCATGCAGGGGCTGCTGACGGGGGTGTTCTACGCCGTCATGGGGCTGGGGAACTACGTCGCCACGCTCATCCTCGCGATCGTCAGCGCAGCTACAGCTGATGGTAACACGCTGGCATGACCCAAAGGAATAGATTTTAAACATAAATGACTGACAGTATAAGGGGTCTCATGAACAAGACATAACGGTGACCGTAGCTTCCACTGACAGTCTAACAACAGACAGCGGTGAACATAAGCTTTTACTGACAGTATAAGAGGTCTTATGAACAAGACATAACGGTGACCGTAACTTCGACTGAGAGTTGTAGGGGGTCTCATGAACCACATATAACTGTGACCTTCGCTTCCACTGACAGTGGTAGGGGTCTCATTAACAAAAGAAAACTGTGACCTTCGCTTCTACTGACAGTGGTAGGTGTCTCATTAACAAAAGACAACTATGACCTTCGCTTCCACTGACAGTGGTAGGGGTCTCATGAACAAACGGCAACTGTGACCTTCGCTTCCACTGACAGTGGTAGGGGTCTCATGAACAAACGGCAACTGTGACCTTCTCTTCCACTGACAGTGGTAGGTGTCTCATTAACAAAAGACAACTGTGACCTTCGCTTCCACTGACAGTATAAGCGGTCTCACGAACAATCGACAACGGTGACCTTTGCTTCCACTGATAGTGTTAGCAGACTCACGAACAACAGCTGAGTTAAAAACAAGCTTCTGATGACGGTGTCGACGGACTCATGAACAATAATTGTGCAGACACCTGAATGTATTGTCCATCGTATGATGTATCATTACTGTGCAGATCATGTGGTGCGCTGGAGTAGCACAGTGCTTAAAGCGTTCGCTCGTCACGCTGAAGACCCGGGTTCGATTCCCTGGTTGGGTAGAATATGTGAAGCCCATTTCTGGTGTCCCCCGCCGTGATATTGCTGGAATACTGCTGAAAGCGGCGTAAAACTATACTCACGAAATAGATAATGTCAAGTTACTTGATGGTTTGGGCATATCATAGCTTATGTACGATGAACTCTCTTCCAGATCCCTGGTTTCCGAACGAGTTAAACTATGGACACGCCGAATACTTGTTCTTCCTCCTGGGAGGTCTCATGTTGTTGGATCTGATGTTCTTTGTTCCCGTAGCAAGACGGTATAAGTATGTCACGCCATCACTGGAAGCGGAAGTAACAGTCACGTCGACACACACAGAGGAAGAAAAGCCCCTTCTGAAGTCTGGTGATAGATCTGTATATGGGTCGACAAAACTATGATTTTTAATTCATTAATGCAATAATGACTGCCTATTCGTGGCATCAGTGCCTTAAGGATCATGTTTTTGATGTGATTGGATGAGGTGAGTTGCGCGGAGCTCAAATTGTGAACCAAGCATCGACACATCACACATTTATCGCTGTTCCCTGAACAGCTTTATCACTGTCTGTAAGCTTATTTGATGGAGCCACGAAGGTGTAAACATTACCTCTTCAGTGAAACCCATGATCTCCGACTTGTGCGTATATATTAAACTCTAAAACTGATGGTAAACGAAATCATTCACAAATACATGTCTGTTTATGCCACGATTCCTGTTTGTTATATAGCTATGTACATAGCAAAACAGTATTAAGCTATAGAGGTTCATGACTTTGTTAGCGGCATATCTTAACCTAATGTATTTAAGGCTACGTGAGCCCTCTGGCATTGATGAGTGAGTGAGTATGGTTTTACGCCGCTTTTAGCAATGTTCCAGCAACATCACGGCGGAGGACACCAGAAATGGGCTTCACACATTGTACCCATGTGGGAAATCTAACCCGGGTCTTTTGCGTGAGGAGCGAACGCTTTTACCACTAGACTACCACTGACATTGATGGATGTGGTGACCTGATATGTGTTATACTTACATCTTGGCTACTTGTCTAGTTTGCATAAACAATCAAAACCCTTGTGTCTAAGTTGGAAATGCTTCGAGTTATCCGAGGCTCGACACAACCGAAACTGATTAATAAAGATGTAATACGCAGGGACCAAACTTATACTGCGAAACAACCAAAAGCTCGACTTATGTAAGTTCGAGACAACGGTGTTTGACTGTCCATCTTTATGATATGCCTTATTTCACCTGTTGTGCTTTTGGTTACACGGAATTTGGACTATATGTCAAGCAGGAGAAGTTATATATAAAAATATAAAACCTGTTTAGTTGAACCGCTGAAACTATTTACCTAAATTATTTCAGCATATTTTAGGTTAGTAAGTACATCCACGGTGTACTTCGTGTTTCACATACACGTTCACTCACATTAATTTTACGAGGAATTTTAACCTGGGAGTCGACACTTGCGTTTATTTCTTGATGTATCAATTTACATTTAATTTAAATTCTATTTAGTTTTATGGATATGAATGTATGTTGAATGTATATTTAAATAAGTGATGTTTTCTGACAATCCTAATTTGATGAAGTTATAAAAGAGGAAAATGAATATCCGTCCCCTGAGGCTGTACACAGCTGTGGTAGTGTGTATGTTTATACCAGGCTACTATACTCAGGGGTAGATCTGCTAGGTTAAGATACAGCTGGAATAATGACGGACGGAATACCTCCAGTCGCGTCATCCAATTCTTGTGATCTGATGTGTAACTGTCTTTTTCGTTGATTTACAGAATAAACGAACTGGTAATGTTATGTTTGCTGTCAGTCTCATTTCTAACAGTTATGTATTTGTGGTGAAAGGTTGTAGCGTTGAGTCTGCATCCCTATCATTTTTCAGGACAAATAATAGAGCTTTAAGATAATCGATAACCGCTATGGGCTCCGAACCTTGGGGTACTTGCCAACATTTTGACAGGAATGTTTAGAAAGGGAATCCTATCTTGGTCAAAAGCTTCCACATTTATAATGATCGAATGGAAATCGTAATATCGGTTGAGAAGTACAGTATTGCAGCGTGTAAATTGCTTATCCAGTGCTTATCGGTTTACTTTGAGCGAGGGAACTGTCGTGGAAAAACGTATTATGCAGCCCCAAGCATTTGTGTATGTGTAGAAACAGGGGTAGCCATTCCATGCTTAGCGTGGTGTGTGCCCTTCTGTGGGCCATATTGCGAGGACAACTTTCCATAATCACATAAATGAGTTAGTGAGACGAAAGACGCAATTATGTTTCTCGTTACAACTGGGGCATAAAGGAAATTGTGTTGGTCCGGAATAGTACAAGTAGTCACTCTCACACACGTACCCACAGACAGAGAGCGAGCACGCACACACGGCGGAAGTCTGGGTAAGAATGGGTCCTGGGCTGGTTGATATGTTGTTTAACGTGTCACATTCCAGCTATATGGCGGCAGTGTGTATATAATCCAGTCTTGACCAGACAATCCAGTGATCAACATAATTAGCATCGATCGCCGCAACGGGATACGATGACATGTGTCAACCAAGTCAGCGAATTTGACTACCCGGTCCCGTTAGTAGCCTCTTACGACAAGCATTGGTTGGTGAAGACCAATTCTAACCCCGATCTTCACGGGTCTGGATCCTAGGAATAATATAGGTTATGAGTGTAAATGTCTTGTCCCGTGACTTGGTTTCTTTGTCTTCGAATCCCGGCGTAGCTCATACTGTCACTCACATTTTTATAACCCAGATTCGGTGGGGCTTTTGGGGGCTTTTTGATTTTTTTGCCTACCATAATATAACTGGAATATTGGTTTAAACGGCCTAAAACAACCAACAGTATTCGTCCTCGTCGGATTTTAACATAACATAGGTATTTGAGAAATAAGGTTACCTGACGAAGGGGCAATTAAAAGCCCACAAACGTTGTGTATAGAATAAACAAAAAGTTGACATCCATAAAAGTTTGCCTTATACAAGGTTAAATTCATCGTGATGAGGTGCCGTCAGCATTATATGGTCACATCACAGGACTGAAACAAGTATAGCACAACACAGTGCTTTATTTTGCTCAGACCAATAACCTTTGCATAAACCTCAGATGGCAGCTGCAGTTTTTGAATTCAGTATTATCAAGCTGTCTCAATAATTACTAATTTCAGTTGTCTATTGACATGCCTGCCCCAGCCATTTGGAATCTGATTCAGATGATAGTCAAAACTGGTTATTTTGGCAATGACGAAATTTAGGTAATTTCTTTAAAACAAACTGTTTTATTGAAATCGACGCTGAAATTATTGCATGTATGTTTTGTAAATATATTCACTTGGAAAAACAAATTCCACGTGTTTTTGAAAAAAATGGAATTCCTAATAAACATGAATAAGATAACACGGGTCTTATATTCAGTGACAAATCAATTCGGTCCAGAATGTAACTTTGGAATGCCTCTATAACTATCCCAGGAACACTGGCAAGTTTTTCCTTCTGTGGCTACCCACAGGGAGTTGGGTAAGCAGGGAGGGACGTTTATACCTTGGCTTGTGTATCTTCTCCGCTGGAAACTCAAGCGTCAGAAACGACGCTTTGTTCACATGTTGTTCGCCGTTACGACGATGTGATGGAAAAGGTTTCTGCCTCTCTAGCCTTCTCGAAAAGGAATTGTACGAACGATGGGACAAAGAGTTTGGTGCAGCGCATCTTAGCAAGTTGTCGTCGTTGGATGTAGTTATTAATGTCTTCCACAGATGATGTTCATGCCTTGAAGCGATCCGGAAACCAGCCATGTTTTTCCTTTCACCATATACACAGAACTGTTGGTCTGGACTACTACCACATGTAATGGGTTCCACACTGTCTTTGCTTGCAGTAAACTGCGACGGGTCATTATAATTTTCAGGCAGCATATCAACAGATCTCCTTGAAACAACCAAAGGTTTGTCTTGATCCTTGGAACTATTTTGACTTGATATCACCTCATTTGGGTTAATGTACACGTTCAAACATTTCTTCTTCCTTGCACGTGGAGGTGAGAGAGATCCAACAGCAGTTGCATCGGAACTTTGGTTCACCAGGAGTTCCTGTTTGCTTGTCCTTGTATCACTCCCTGGATCCTGGTTATCTTTCTGTGATGTCTCTAGATGTCCGAGGTCGTCAATCTGGTGGATGATGGCATGTACAGTGGAGGAAGATCGACCTCTGACAAACAGCGGCTCCTGCTCCACCTCACGTGATAGTCTACGTACACGTGTCAGTGCGCCATCTGACATCTTGGAGAGGCATCCATCAATCTTCGTGGTGTAGGGATCTGATTTTCGTCTGAACGACTTTAGCGTGTGGTAATGCGAAGACAATTGTGTTTGATCATTTCCTTCTTTCGTCACAAATCCAAGACAATTAGATTGTTTATTGCACGTGGGTGAATTAGAAAAGACAAGACTTTGATCCTCAGTTCTAACCCAAACGGCCTCAACTACTGACAGTCGTTTAATCTCTGGTCTCTTCTTTGAGATAATAGGTGGTGACACTTGTTGAGGTTTACAATTTGTGGAACTCGTTCGCGTATCTTGTCTTTTAACAGGTGCAGCCTCCCTTGGCTTCACCGCATTTTGTGTGTTCAAGAAAGCTAATGCAGCTCGTAATTTTCGGTAGAGGAATAGACTCTTCCTCCTTGCATGAAAAGGTATGTTATTACATCTTTCAGGGTGACTATTGGAATCTGTTATGTCTTCATCAAGACTGGAATTCGTTATGTCGTCTTCGATTGTAAGGAACCTTTGAAAATCTGCAAACATAATTTGTTTTCACAATATATAAGGAACCATGTTTGGATACATGAACACATGATACAACTTGATAGCAGTCTGATTGCTGTCAAAGATATTTACATGTGTCAAGATGTACCCATCTAATAATGTCATTGTGCTTTTGCTATGTACAATATGGGTTATTACATTATTCAATCTGACAATTTATGAAAATTTGCTTACTTTTCCCCAGTACTGTGAACGTTCAACACGAATCGATGTGTGTATATATTACAATGTGAGACAGAATGAACTATTGTTTGCACCACTGACAACAGCTAAAGCACATCTATCCTCGATATCAGTGTGTCTGACATACTAGTTTAAAGCTATGGACTTTTTCCGACGATTTTTACAACATCACTATCGCAAAGCATACCTTTTCTTTTTGTAATATATATTTTCCATTGCACTGATTCTTACCTTCGAAACTTATCCTGTCGTCACCATCACTATCAACCGATTTTAGTATTTGGAGAATTTCGTCATCACTGATGACCTCCCCTAACGACAACATCAGTCGGTAGATGTCAGCGCCAGTGATAGAACCATCTCCATCAACATCAACGACAGAAAAGGCCTTCCGTGTAATTTCCTCATAGTATTCATCAGAAAATTGTAATATTTGTGTCACACATTTGTAGAAGTCATGCAGACGTACGTCCCCCTGAGCTAAAATATTAACAGAGATAATTTTATTCGAACCATCCGTATCACATCTGTAAAGTACTGATTATAAGAAACATTAACTCCAACAGAAATAACGCCAATGCAAGCACCAGCATCAGCACCAGTACGAGTGTCAACGCCAACGCCGGCACCGGCACCAACACAAGCACCAGCACCAGCAACAACCCCAGCATCAACACCAGCACCAACGCCAAAACCAACACCTGCACAACCACCACCAGCACCACCAGAACCAGAACCAGCACCAGCACCAGCACCAGCACCAGCACCAGCACCAGCACCGGCATCAACACCAGCACCGGCACCAACACCAGCACAAGCACCGGCATCAACACCAGCACCAGCACCAGCACAAGCACCGGCATCAACACCAGCACCGGCACCAGCACCAGCACAAGCACCGGCATCAACACCAGCACCGGCACCAACACCAGCACAAGCACCGGCATCAACACCAGCACCAGCACCAGCACCAGCACCAGCACCAGCATCAAGCACCAGCACCAGCACCAGCACCACCACCAGCACAAGCACCGGCATCAACACCAGCACCGGCACCAGCACCAGCACAAGCACCGGCATCAACACCAGCACCGGCACCAGCACCACCAGCACCAGCACAACCACCACCAGAACCACCAGCACCACCACCACCACCACCAGCACAACCACCACCACAACAACACAATATATACAACTGCTAGGATCGATACATATGTAGGTATCACAACCCATACTAAATAATGCCCCCAAATCGTTTCATTTTATAACATGACAGTTGAGTACGAGTGACAGGCAGGCGGTTAGTTGAGTTTACACCACTTTTATCAGTACTTCAGTTATTATTGATTTGATATCAGATGGTTCTTACAGACACTGTCTCACATAATTATCTTACATTGGGTGAGGGCCTGTGTGGTCATGTTGAGCACCCTGTCGTCAGTGTGTTTGATGCCCAGGAGGTTGAGTAAAGGGTGAACGTTGTTCACTGTAATCTTGACCTCGCCCTCTCTGACGGCCACGCCAATCCCGGACTTTACCTCTGTAAAAGATGATAGTGACAATGAAATCGAATAACAATTCTTCGGATATATAATTATAATGAACCGCAAAAAGAAACGTCACATTTAAAAACCGAATGCAAAATATTGTTCTTACAATGTGGTGTTTTTATTGTGATTATTTTGTTTTGTTGACATGTTTGTCAATCCAAAGTGACAGTTATTACCAAAATCAGTGTGTTGTCTGATGAAAAAGGCATATCGACCAGACGCACCAAAAAAGGCAGACGTGGTAAAAGGTTCAGTATGACATTCGTAAAAATGAAAATGCACATGCATATCCTGACAACCCTACCAATGAAAGGGAGTCCCATGTTAGGACAATCAGTTGACTACAGGAGTGGTATCAGGCCACTAACAGCATCCAAGACCCTCCGCGTAGTGAACGACCTTCACTAACATGACAACGTCAACACTGACAGATTCTGCGCAGCCATCTGTAGGATCGCTTCACCACAGCGACGGAAACAGTATGCCAGACCACTGGGACTCACAACAGATCCATTGGTGCCGATACAGTGCGTCGACGTTTGCGCGGAAGAAAACTCTGCTGTCACATACAGTATCGTGGTTCTGTCCCCACCGCCCGTCACCGCCAAAAGCGGCTGCAATGGGTAACTCAGCATCGAAATTGGCGTTATCGACAAAGGAGAACTGTACTTTTTCTGATTAAAGCCGATGTTGTGTGTCGACAGCCGATGGCAGAGTGAGATTGCCTACACTGTCAGAGCAACATTGGACTTCCTAAGACAACATGGCATCCAAGCGCTACAATGACCTGCACTCAGTCCGGACTTAAGTCCAATAGAACACCTTTGGGAAGAGATTCAAACAAGATTGAATGACCTCCAACCGCGGCTGGACTCGTTGGGCATTTCGCAGAGTACGGACCCAAGTACCAATGGCCTTCATCCCATGTACAGACGATGCAATGACGTCATCGATGCCCGTGGAGGCCTCACACGATACTGATTTTGAAGTATCCTAATGGTACCATTTTTGGTGATTTTGTTTGTGTTTGGTCTAAATGTCATTCCCGAAAATGTGGTAACCATAATTGTCAAGTTGGAACTCCATCTACCGTTTGATTGTTAATTAGAGCGAATTAAAGTGTGGGCTTCAAGAAACCTCTATCGGTGTGGCGTTTCTATATAGTGCTGCTTTGTACAGAAACATCTCGGGAAAGTGGGGTTATTTTGTTAAACGCCGCATTCATCAATGGAATAGTCATAATAAATAAAGACAGGGTTGGAGATTAAAGTTACTTATTTTGATATTATAAACATGAAGGAGTCTATGCATAAACTTTACTGAAAGCGCGAGTCTACCCAAGGCGAAGTAGGTACTTCAGTCGAGCTTGACGGTTGTAGCTCTGCGTCGAGTAGTGCCATGGCAAGAGAATAGGTAGTTGGACTATGTTTTGCGTGGGTGGTTTATACTCATACAACTGAATATATTGTTCCTGAACAAAAGTGCTATTCATGTAGATGATCTCAGTACCTGTAGGGCCTGTAGCTGTTCAAAGTTCGAGACGGTGATGCTCTTTTCGTCATCGCCGTGACTGAAGTGCGGGTTGGAGGAACATGAACAGTCTCAAAACAACTTCAGCAAGTTCTACCTTTGACATAGACTGAGGTACGGTATGTTTATTTTGTAGGGGTGTCTTGATAGGGATTGTGCAGAGTGTTTGATATGTGCACAGTGATTGTAAAGTGGATTGTCAAACATGTGTAGATGATTGTCTTCCTTGTACGAAGAGGTAGTTAACATGTACAATGGATTGTTTTATATGTTCACTTTGACTGTTTAAAGTGTACGTTAGTGTTGTTTAATAGTATTTGAATTGAAATTATGAGTTTGTTTTCCAAAGTTTTGTTTGAGAGTATATGCGATGGATCCAGTAAATATGATTGAAATTATCAAGTGTGATATTTCATGTCAAAATAATACTTACTGTTTAACACAGTCAGGCGAAATGCTTCCTCTCCGTCTAAATCCGGCTCGTCTAGCTGCAACACATGTTATCTTTGGGATTACACTTTCTCAGAAGAGTACAGATTCTGGTACTTTTGTTAGTTTGAGTCCCATCCAGGTTTCGAACCCATACACCCATAGTCAAGCATCTTATCACTAGCACACAAAGTCATAACCCTGCAAAGTGTCAAAACCCGAAAATACTTATAAATCTACACGATCAGTTCGTATAGAACGAAAACATTGCCTCATTTGCCACATAAATATCCTTTTTGGAACTCTTCAGTAGGACAGATGGGTTTCACACATAAGTGGTGTTGAGGCCAATAAAGATCCAGGTTAGAATTGATCTTCAGCAACCCATGCTTGTCGTAAGAGGCGACTAACGGGATCGAGTGGTCAAGCTCACTGACGTGGTTGCATATATCGATTATCATAATGTTGATCACCGGATTGTCTGGTCCAGAGTCATTATTCACAGACAGCCGCCATATAGGAATATTGCTGAGTGTGGCGTTAAACTAAACAAACAAAAACAACGTTACGTGACTCACCTGGTATCTATTCCTTTCGTCTTCCATTTTGGGGCGGTGGGGTAGCCTAGAGGTTAAAGCGTTGGCTCGTCACGCCGAAGACCCGGGTTCGATTCCCCACATGGGCACAATGTGTTAAGCCCATTTCTGGTGTCCCCCGCCGTGATATTGCTGGAATATTGCTAAAAGCGGCGTAAAACTAAACTCAGTCAGTCAGTTGTCTTCCATTTGCGAAGACCAGTGTGTAGACTGTACTGTTTCTTGTCACATACAGCTCTATACGGTGTAGATAGCGTATTTCAGACACCACATACAGCTCTTTATGGTGTGGATTGCGTATTTCCAGATATCACGAATAGCTCTATATAGTATAGATACTATAGAATATTTCGATATATCACGTACAGTTCTATATGATGTAGATAAAGTATTTCCAGTTGTAACGTACAGATCTATATGGTGCAGATGACGTATTTCATATTGTCACATACAGCTCCATGCGGTGTAGATAGCTATGTCACACATATTTGTGCAGCTGTAATACACGTGGATCAGGCATCACTGCATCTTCTTAAATACGTCTGTAAAATTCCTGAAGGCTACTTACACCTACATCTGTATGCTGTACTGAAGCCGTGCTTCCTGTTATCCCTGCAGCTGTATGCTGTACTTAGGCAGTGATTCCTCTTGTCCCTACAGCTGCATGCTGTATTGAGGTAGTGGTTCCTGTTATCCCGTCAGTCCTTGCTCCTATTTCTACAGCTGTATGCTGTATTGAATCCGTCCTTGCTCCCTTTGCTACAGCTGTATGCTGTATTGAATCGGTTCCTGCTGTTGTTCTCACAGCTGTTTGCTGTATTGAGGCCGTGCCTCCTCTTATCCCTTCAGTACGGACAACGTGCGTCCTATTACCGCCTACGGCTGTTTGTTGTATGGAGTACGTTCCATGCTGCTAGGCTAGAGTAACAAATGGCCAGGGCACAACTGTCGTGATCACCTGAACACACTGGCATTTGAAGGTGACGTTTATCACAGGCATTACCACATGACCCCTCATTAGCCACGGAAATTAAGCAATGTTAAATACGCCATGAATAATACGCAGGTGGCCCGAACATAACTGTGTTTTCATATGTATATAATAAACCCATAACACCGTGCCACACCATATGTACAATCGCTGTTAACCCTCACTACAAAGCATTGCTCAATATACAGGGCCACTGGGTAAAGTGTACGATGTGACTTGGTTGACACTTGTCATCGTATCCCAATTGCGTAGAACGATGCTAAAGATGTCGATCGCCGGATCGTCTGGCCCAGACTCGATTATGTACAGACCGTAGCCATATACACTAAACGCCAAAAAGAAAACGTTACCCTCCTTCCTTTAAGACGGAGGTACCTATCTACCGTTGTGATGCGTGCACGTTCACTTATTGGTCTGTCTACGGTGACCCCAGTCTCTCTGAAGCCCTGAATAAGTCTTATAACCGTAATACGGTGGCATCCGAGGGCGTTGGCAACAACATTGTATGTCGACCCCATCTGCACCATCCCAATGGCTCTTTCTCTCTCTTCAGCTGTTAATCGAGGCATATTTCTCGTACTTGTGTACCATATCATGCATTCTAGTCTCTCTTTATACCCTATAGAATCATTCTATATGTGAAATGGATGCAAATTACTGCTTGAATATTGCTGCGTTTTGGCGATTGATATTGCTATTTGTAAACAGAAAAGGGAAAAATGTTACTTTGCAAGCAAAAAATGTTAACAAAGATAATTTTAGATGTTCCTAAACAATTTTTCACAATATCAAAGACACGTTTTACTTGTTTTCACTAAAGCAAATTAGCCGAAAATGTTTTAAAAGATTTAAATCATAAGAGTGACTATTTTACAATTTTACACACTCTGCAATAGTTTTAATATTTGAAAAATGGTGATTTTGAATGTTTTATCTTTGTCTCAAACCAGAATTTTATTTCAACCTTTCTTTTGGACATCTAAATCACTGTTATTGGCTTATTTCGGCATGGACGAAAATAGGACAATTTAACTCTTCTGAAAAAGATACATTTCACCTAAATATGAATGCATTTGCGAATTTGTTTTCGTGATTTGCATAAAGCTGTGTTGTTAAGCTTTCTTCTAAACTAATACCTTCTATCATGCCTTTGATAGATTTGAAGTAATTCATAAAGGTAGGTGGGTAACGTTTCTTTTGGCGCTTAGTATAGCTGTAGTATTGCTTTGTGCGGCGTTAACCAATAAACAAACCAAGTTGCGTGGCTCACCCTGGTGTCTGTTCCTTTCGTCATTTGTAAAGACCAGTTTGTAGACTGTACCAACCAACCAAATAACTCCGCTTTATTTATAGGAACTCCGTACGTAGAGCCACTGAATATATCGCACCACTCCATATACAGGGTTGCTGGTTACATTTTACCACTCCTGATTTGGTATTAAAGGAATAACTAACTTATTATATAAATAGTATAAAATTAGTTCCACTTCTTGTATAGTACCACATAATATATGGAACAGGACCACATATCGTGCCACTTCATATAAAACATCAGTCCGTGTACAGTACCAACTCACTTTCAGAACAGCTTTTTTATATATTGTGCTGCTGAAAATCATTACCATTTCCTGTAGACCACTACTCCGTGTATTGTGTCACTTTGTATGTAATACCATTCATTTATACCACATACATAGCACAACTTGACAGAAAGTACAACCACCTAACAAACCTCGTTCTAAATAAAGAAACACTGCGTAATACCCATAATACCGAACTAGATGGTCAGCCACACCAGAGAAACCTACTTGGCGTGAGATTTTTACATTAACCCCTTTCTACGGCTAGGTCGACGTGTTAAGGTTAATCCTAAATCGGATCATCGTTTAAGCCCGTAGGTGATGCGTTAAAAAGCATTAATCAACAAATATCCCCTTACCTGATATTGAAATTGTGTTAGCCCATATACCATCCTATACCATATACCATACTATACCTTATACCATCCTATCCATCCTACTACTATAACAACATTTAATTGGAACTTTGGGTGTGGTCGAAACTAGTGAATGGTGTGGATCGGATCAATATGTTGGACATGTTGTCGAACTCAACATAGAAAGAAGAAAATGGAAATTTTATGCGATTTATTAAGTGAAACGTGATTCCTGCATTGCAATTGCCTGCATTGTTTTAACATTGTAGAGGTGTCGAGTACATTGAAATCCAAAATGCCAAATGAAATGGTCACTGAAAGAAAGCGTAGCAAATTTCATTCTAAAGTACACATCACTATTATGGCGTTATATCGCTCACTGTGACATAAAGAACCCTTGAAGATCCGGGTTAGAATTTAGCAACCGATGATGGTCGTAAGAGGTGACTAACGGGAATTGGTGGTCAGGCTCGCTCACTGGTTAACACATGTCATCGTATCCTAATTGCGTAGATCGACGCTCATGCTGTTGATCACTGGATTGTCTGGTCCAGACTCGATTATTTACAGACGCCCGCGATATAGCGGGAATATTGCTGAGTGCGGCGTAAAACTAAAATTTGTCGTTCACTCACTCACTATTACTTCACAGCCGTTTTGGAGAAAAGCCAAATGTCAACCTGTACTATCCATAAACCTTTCAGTACATTTTTTCTAACAGGTTTCATTCTATGGTGTTACTTGCACAACATGTCTTGCCACACATAATTTGAATATAGTTGCTATAACTTTAAATGTGAACTTTCAGCTATCAGTATATTTGAAATGAAACTCATTATTTTTACAAAATCGCAGAAATCAATACTGACTCTCATTTTCAGTAACATAAGTGACGATGACCTGGTAATGGACAAAAAAGCTTTTTACCTCCAGTGATGTCTGATGTTCACAGACTACACCAATAATGGACGCCCAAAACATTTACTTTCCCTTCAAATAATACTTTTAAACAAGTCCATTACAAAACGACGTGATGTGTACGCAATTACACACGAAAATGCTAAAGTACATCGATTTCATGAATGTATGGTTTTACGCCGTTTTTAGCAATATTCCAGCAATATCACGGCGGGGGACACCAGAAATGGGCTTCACACATTGTGTCCATGTGGGGAATCGAACCCGGGTCTTCGGCGTGACGAGCGAACGCTTTAACCACTGGGCTACCCCACTGCCCCCGATTTAATGAAGACTCGGAAGGAAATGAATTTGATGCCACAAACTGTACCGTGTGACAAATGTTGTAAGTTTATTTCGAAAAAAATATGTTTAATAACTTTCATGGATGAAATTAAAAATATTAAATTACCAGTTTTTAGTTGCGTGATTTTCAAATTGTGTAATAAAAACGTATTAAATCATATTCGATTTTAGAAAATGAAATCATTGAGAAATATTTGTCCAGTACGAACCAAAGTTTATTTTTGTTTGTGCATGTTATCGCAAGATATTTTCAGTTGAAAATCAAACATAACATTGGAACGAGTCGCCGCTGACAAAGCAAATGCAATTACAA